AGAAGAAGAAGAAGAAGAAGAAGAAGAAGAAAAAGAACAAGAACAAGAACAAGAAGAACAAAAAGAACAAGCAGAAGAAGAAGAAGACAATGTCAAGTGTATTATATACTTTTTCGTCCAAATTTTATCTGCACAAAACTCTGAAAACGGTATTTTCGTAAATCTGATTGTAAATAACTCCAAACCTAAACATTCAAGCCCTTGGCATGCCTTCGCCCCCGGCCCCACTCCAACCGTTTTCCCCATTATCTATGACACCTTCCAATTTCTGTTTAACGTTAATCACTACTCTCACCCCGATCCCTGTGACCTCTTTTTAACCACGTGTCAAACTTATAATTTTGAAATTGTGTACGCTTGCATCCCATTAACATTTACTACAAACATTATGTTATCGGAAAAGGTTTGTTTTTCTAAAGACTCGTCCTTTACATGTACCCTTAAATGATTTCAGTTCAAACGGGAATTTAACCTTAATTCGTGTCCTTTTGCAACGCACACACACACACACACACACACACACACATACACACACACACACACACACACACACATACACACACACACACACACACACACACACACACACACATCACTAACGCACGCTTGCGCATACATACATCCAAGCAAAATACACACATTTTAATTATGGCCTAGGGCTTTTACACACGCATTCTTAAATAAGACATACAATGGGTATGTTCGTTTAGTTTTACCTCAGAATTTAGCTTCAAACTTCACTTAGTCTAGTCAAATGGAACACAAAATTTAGATTTAATAACTCTCTGAAATCTCTTATAATCAGATAATGCTTATTAGAATATTTTGTCAATGCGATATGGTTTTTGCAGCTGTCCTAAATTCCATCGCGATAATGAAACATTTTTCTACCTTCATATTCATATAATTTTCTTTTTTCCCCAACAAAGTTACTAAAATTAGCTTACCTCAGATATGTCCTTGAGCTACTTATTTTGCAGAGGTAGTAGCACGTATTTGAACTAAAAATGAAGATTGTGTTTGTTTTTGTTGTTGTTTTTCCTATTTATAGGGGCGGGGTTGGGGAGGGGGGGGGATTTGAAGTCCTGAAAGCAGAAAGCAACTGAACTCCAGAGGCCTTTCAATATCCCTTTGTCTATTTTGTATTTCAAAGACAATAGTAGTATTTATAAAATTATCTATACGACACGCCTTTCTAACGAGATTCCCCAAACGAGGAACTGTTGCTAAAACCAACATTTTACTCCTTTCAGCCCAAACACTAGCGTTCTTAGAAGCCCAAAATCAAATATGGCGCCTCACTTCAGTTGAACAATCCTGAGAAAAAGACAATAGTACGGAACTGGTGTTCAGAACAAATTTCTGCTTTTTTTTTGGACTGGTAATCGGTAGTTAGGCGCGCAATGCCGCTGACAACATGGGCTAGTGGCGCCTACTTTCCTTTCAGCACTAGGAAATCTGCTAGGTTCCATGACCGCTGGAATATACAAATTCCTTCATCGGTAACCGGTTGTTGTGACATGATTGATCAAACTTAAACACTCAATGAAGAGAAAGAATATTTTTTTTCTTTTTTTGCTTAACCAAAATGTTAAGTTGACACTCAGTCCAAATTACGGAAAATACCCGCAAAACATTTTTCAATTATGATAACCATCTTTCTTGGAAGTCAATGTCTATCTTTGTCTGACAGGCGTCCATTTTCATTATTTTAAAAGCTTTTTAAAAATCAAATTATGGAATAGAAGAAACAACTGACATGACAGACTTGTCTCTTAGCTGTGTGGTAAGCCAAGGCTTCAGAGAGAATGGCTAAAAACATCTCGTTTCCAGCAGGGAGGCAACTTTCGAAAGGTCATGTCTTTATTCAGCATTTGGTTTAAAACGAGAACATTTTTGAAAGCAAAAATGTCAACAAGCATTTCGATTACGCTAGCTGCACATCATTAGCTTCATGTTAAGATTCAACAAGACATAATATACGATTTGACTAAGACGTTAACAATGTTAGCCCGCCAATCCTCGCTTGTCGTTTTTGCTCAACAACAAGTTTTGATTGCTTAACGAAATAAATTTTGATGGTAAACAAACTCAAGATAAGCAGGCTTCTTAAATCAACATGTATTTTAAATTTCAATTACCCATTTTAAAAAGATATTAGGCCCTCTGGGGCATATTCAGTTTAGACCTAAATTTTCGTTGACGTTAAGTAAAGGAAAGAAGATAGGTAACATTAATTATATTCAATTCAAAATTGCAAAAAATTGTTTTTAGGGTTAATATAACAAAATTAAGGTTTGGAAAGAAGTCATGTATGTGTGAGGTTTTCAAAAGTCCGTTTGTTCCAATAAAGGTAACATTTTATCCCAGTATATTCTTTCGCGCGATAAAAAAAAAATTGACAAAGTATGTCCATGTTCTTAGCTTAACCTCTCCTTGTTGGTTCAAAAATATGATATTGATTTAATGGCGCGTTCGCGTTCATTAGATTGAAATGATTTGGTTATAGCTGAGGTGAGAAATAACAGGGAGAAAAATGTATGGATCATCAGTGAGCAATTAGAGGCTACAGGATTAAAGAATCTTTCTGTGTTTCTCTCCCACTACCAACACATGCCCCCCTTCCCTC